AACCAACAGTGCTTTTTCAGTTGTGATTTTCCCAAAGCAAATTTTTGTGAAAACTTACAAATGTGTTTCCAGAGACAAATCAGGGGAGAAACTCCATCTTGTTTAAACAGCATCATTAAAATTACATTACAATTAGATTTTGGAGGTGACTGGAATAATTTCTGGGTTTTTTCCCCAACCTAACTTTTCACCCTTTAGAAGTTTATTTTTTAAGCAGTGCTGGATTTCAATTAGCCACTAATTTTAATGAGTATTTTTATACTACACAAATGATTGTATATTTAAATCTCCATATTGTTTTAAATTATAAACAGTAAAATATGCCTGTTGTTAAGCTTTTGCAACTTTTGTTATGTTTTAACAATAAAATATGGATACTTAAAACAAAACTGAATAAATTAGCTGAGTAAAGGGGAGTGACATTAACAGCTTAGTTACAGATTCCCTTCCTCTTGCTTGAGCTACACAGTGGAAAATTAAGACTGTTTGTGGGGCATGAGATTTTTGATACACCAAAAACAACTGAAATACACAACGAAATCAATCTCTGGCATTCAGTCCCATTTAGCAGAAATCAGAATTTTAGTCCAGTAGCAAACTCATGAAGACCCAGAATGAGATACTATCCTGTAAACCAAAACAGGATACATGAAAACATGTTACTGAGAATATTAAGTGCAGTGGAAGTGTTACAGTAAATAGTCTTTATTTGCTGAAGAATCTACAATTTTTAAGGTGACCCTCCTGTCTTGCCTTTTGGCACATTCCTCTCTTACAGTATGTTCCACCAGCATTACTGTTTTCACAGGCATAGAACTGCCACAAATCTTGCTGAAGTGAATGAGACTTGCAGGGAAGTACAATCTTACAAAATATTATTAATCTGCTGTTAGCATAAGTGGGAGAATATTATTACCTCATGTCTGATAGTCTCTTTGGGTAACGCTTCTATTACAGCAAGAAGAGTTTCTAGCCATGCATTGCTGACACCTATGAGAAAGAAATGGGTTATATGTTATGTTGTACATGTAACGAGTATAACAAAACACACATTAGTTTTACAAAATTAGTTCTCACTTTTTACACACACCTCTTCAAGGAGCTATGTATCTAAAAGCCACTAAATTAATATTCAAGACTTCAAACTAAGAAGTAGGATAGGTGAGAAGCAAATTCTGTTCCCATTTCTTTTACCTTTTCAACTCCTGTACAAAAATAATAATGAACCTGTTTGTTTTGAAAAGATGGTTTCCCTCTTTAGAAGCATATTCTTTTCTTATGCCCAACGAAACTTTCTAGTGTGACAAGAGGCCATTTTTTAAATTTGTATACCAAAAATAGTGTCAAAGAAGTTAAGAAAAACTAATTATCGTAGAAAAAATGTCAACCATCCTCCCTCCATTTTCTCAGCCACAAAATTCCAGTACTTCAGTAGAGAAGCTCGGACTCAGTAACAATGTTCGGATTCAGTCCTTCAGACAAAGTGGTTTTGTTTGTTTCAATCAGAATTACATTTAAATATTAGTATATAAGTGGTCAGCATGCAAAAATCCTTTCATTCATGCAAGTCTAGTAAGAAAGTCACAGTGATTGCACTCATTAGTTATCTACAAAACTGTATATTACTTATTTGGTCTTTGAATTATGACACAGTATTGTACGGTCACTAAGGGAACAAAACGTATTGAAGTCACCAATCATCAGCATAGCTGAACAGCCCTGACCTGCATCTCTGTGTTCCAGGTTCTGGAGAATGATGTGTAGGAAGGAGTGGGAGTACGTATGAATGGACACCGATTCCTCTTGCAGAACAGTCAAAAATGAAACAGCAGCTGTTAACTGCATTTCCACTCCTGCAACATGCAGCACTTCCTGTGTAATTACAAGTTATATCAATTTAGAGCATGAGGCAGAAATGAACTGAAAGAACATTCAAATTTTTACATTCACTTTTAAGACTGAATATGCAACAAACTGGGTAAACTACAGAATTGGCTGTAAAATTATTTTCTCTTAACAGCAATTACTTGGAGATACTCAAATCTCTTATAGCATGAACCTTTTAAGAAAAATAGTTAATTATAATATTTTTTGTACTTTGTTTCATCGGTGCATATGTGTGGATTTTTTGACTTCACAAAATAAGAAGTAAAAACAGCCCAGCCAACAACTTCAATTCTGCTGTTAATGTACATGAATTAAAAAGAAATACTTCATTCATCCAGTGAGAGATACTAAAATAGCAGAAGGCAATTTAAACTTCATCCCTTGCCAAGTGACATGGAACACAAATGAAAATGTTTATGTATATATACATAGAGAGAGAAACAGTCTTCATAGAGAGAGAAACAGTCTTAAGAATAAAGCAAGACATACTAGAATATTATCTAGGTAACTCAGCATTTACTAGTACTTAGCTTTAACATATAAGAATGTAATTAATTAGGCTGTATTTAAAAGCACCAATTCAAAAGCATGAATTCAAAAATATGAGAATGAAATATTACTAAATTTCTTGAATGAAACAAAAAGGAGGTTTAAATTCCAGATTTATGCACACACCAAAGCGCTTGCAGGATGCAATCTATGACACAACATTCATTGTACGTATGTACACATCTAACAGCTAGGTGAACACTCCATTTATTTACTTCTTTAAATGTATCTCTCTATCTCATGAGAAAATAAAGTGCATTATTCTACTACTAAGGCATTACAGTCATTTTACAAATTATTCCAAATATTTGCATTCAATAGCCACGGCAACCACCCTCTTGTTGTCTCCACAGCCTGTCCCCATCCTTGTTCCTGCGTTCTTATTATAACAGCCACAGCCAAGAATAATGACACCTACCAATTTTGCAATCTGAATGTTTTTGGGATCAGAATACCTGTGTGTACTATTCTGGGATTTTGACTTACACTTGTTCAAAAAAACAACCCCAAAATAAGTGAAAGAACTATCTACACACTGTAGGTGCTAACACAGCACTGCAGACCAGCACCTAATGGAGCTGAATTCAATTTTATATATGCATTCACTTTGTACACAATGCAAACGGGGTTACTTACAGTCAAATAAAGTTTCCAAATAGTGTTCTTCACAAATCCACACAACTCTGGAAAATCACGTGTGAACACATTCTCTGGATGTGCCCCCTCATGGACCTCGGGAGACACTGAAATGTACATTTCTAGATTGCTTACACACCTGCCTGCATTGACGTTTGTACTCGGGACTGTGCAGTTCCACATATGAAAATCTATGGGTCTCCTCATTCCAGTTTCACTGAACTCCAGTTGAGTGACTTAAAGTTACTTAATATAAATTTATTTACTTAGAAAGTAATGTATTTTTCCATACATGGATCTTCTGCAGATTCTCACTCTGGAGGAAAAAAAGCTCTTCCTGTCTATCTTACTCAGTAAAGTGTATTTAATGGAATTTAAGGGTATTACCATGTTCTTGACTATCCTAATGTCTGCAAGGTAAACTCAGGCATCAAAACTTGCAAAATTTAGAAAGGCTGACTTATTCCATTAATTGGAAAACAGAAAATTCACCTCTAGCTTAATGCACTTTATGCCCTGCAGCAATAGAATTCTCTTGAAAGATTGTTGCAAACAGAAATATAGTCCATTGTTTTGGTAACTGCGTTGATACGACAGAAACTTCATTTAGGACTAGAAAGACACAGAAATAATAGAGATTACAGAAGCTCATAGATACAATGAGGACAGTCCCTAAAATCAATGTCAGGTACAAGATAGGGTCAAAATCACCCCACCTCTTCTTAAACTATAAAATCAACGAGGAAAAAAAAGAAAAGCTTTTAAGGGGAGAATGATATATTAAGAAAACAAGTAACTGTGAAAATGAGTTTGAAACTAATCAAACAGTGCCGAATAAGGCTTGATGTATACACTTCAACAAGGGTAGCCACAGTGTTCTGCAATCACAGAATTTGGAAGAATCTCTTATTAGTCAACCAGATAGACACCTGCAATCTCCCTCCACTGCATCTGGTGGCAGTGCCCAAGGATGGAAAACAGGGAAAATACTATTAATATCACTTGCAAGGAGCCATTTGGTGCACTACAAAAAAAGCTGAGAATAATGTCTAAGC